CGGGATAGCCATCAAAGATGTTCATCCCTGACGTTATCCCCATCAGGAATGTATTTAACATCCTTGACGGGCTTGCCGTTAGGGATATTCATCCTTACTCGTCAAAGATCATGGAACAAAACTAATGACAAAGCCGTCAAGGAAGTTCATCCTTGACTATGGACCCATCAAGGATGTGAAAACATCACTGACGGTGTTGCCGTCAACATTGTTTGAACAACTGTATGTGCGGGAAATTGCGAGAAAACTAAGAATTGAATTTGTATTATTCTATCTAACTGACTTAGACAAAGAATGATTGAATTCCTCTTAATATAACTTCTCTCTAACTAACATAGAAAAAGAAACAATAATTCTCTTTATCGATTTCCCGATTTACAAAAGAGGGAAGGATGAAACCCTCCCTTTGTTTAAAACTGGGTTCTTTCTTTGTGGCGATAGGAGTTTGAATCTTGTATCCCATTAACGATCCAAACACTTCAGCTTCATGGGAGGTTGGTCCTCTCTCCTCGACTTGACGTCTTAAGAGAATCGCAAGGCAAGTTTATAACTCTAGCCGAGTTTTGAGAACTCTCTGTAAGAGAGCTAAGAACTTGCAAGATAAATTCGGAACTCTACATGAGTTTTGGGAAACTTGTTTGAACAAGTTGGAAACTCTCTGTAAGAGAGTTAAGAACTCTAGCCGAGTTTGAATCCCCAAGAAGGGTTAATTTTAGAGAGGAGATGAACCTCAAAGAGAACTAATCAAAATGGGTTTAAAGAGCAAGCCAAGAGCTCCAAGAATGCTCCAAGAAGACTCTCTAAGAAGCCCTCTCCTTCTATTTCTTCTCTCTTTTTCTTTTCTTTTGGCCCCCCCTTTTTCTCCTGGAGATCCAGCCCTATGTATAGGGCAATCAGGGGATAAGATACCCCTTAACAGGCCCTTAACTATGCTCGTACCTTGACAAGATAGTTTTGAAAACTATTATTGAGTCAAAAACGCAAGGATCGAGTTCTGGAGAAAAGGACGCGGGGTGAACCCTGTGTCTGGGAACTAGAAGTGCAGGGTGACCCTGCGTTTGGGATATGGAACGCATGGTGACCCCTGTGTTTGGGATCTGGAACGCATGGCCACCCCTGTGTTTGAGATCTGGAACGCATGGCGATCCCTGCATTTGAGATCTGGAACATGGGACGAACCCTGCATTTGGGATCTGGAATGCATGGCGACCTCTGCGTTTGAGCTTGGCAATGCGGGGTGAACCATGTGTTTAGGATCTGGAAGCGCATGGCGACCCCTGCGTTTGGGATCTGGAACGCATGACGACCCTTGCATTTAGGATCTAGAACGCATGGCGACCCCTGCGTTTGAGATCTAGAATGTGGGATGAACCCTACGTTTGGGATCTGGAATGCATGGCGACCTCTGCGTTTGAGCTTGACAACGTAGGGTGAACCCTGCGTTTAGGATCTGGAAGCGCATGGCGACCTCTGCGTTTGGGATCTGGAACGCATGGCGACCTCTGCGTTTGAGCTTGGCAACGTGGGGTGAATTCTGCATTTTGCCTTGGAAGTGCAGGGTGCCCTCTGTGTTTGAGCTTCTGGGATGCGGAAGAGGGCTTCCGTGTTTGGATTTGTAGAGATCGTCAATTGTAATCTCTTTTCTTCGACTTTTGTGCAGATTGTCATCTTGTAATCTTTACACATGACCCTTGTGGAATGTGAGAGTCATTAATTTGTAACTCTAGCACGTTGCTGTGAAAGTCATCACATTGTAATTTTCATTAACTGTTGCGGAGGTCGTCAGATTATAACTTTCGCTTGTTGATGTGAAGGATGTCAGATTGTATTTTTCATCATCTGTTGTTTTGTGGGGATCAGCTATCAGCAGTAATTTTTAGACAACCTACAATAACCCTGATGGTACTCGTCGTCAGTAATAGCTATTACTGACGACAGTCCGTCTGGGATGTTTCTGCCCTGACGAGACTTTTACTAACGGCGTTCCCTTGATAGTCTGCAGTCAGGAATACGCATCCTTGATGGATTTTGTTATTAATTTTATGATATATTATAACATAACATATTGTATTATATAATAATGTAAGATAAATATTTTATATTTTAATTAAAATGTATTCTATTTTGATTAGTATTTAATATTTAACAATATGCTTAATACTAATGTTGCAAAGGAGTTAAACTAATGTTGACTAAAAGCATTCATCATGGTGTTTTGAAAACACTTTGGAGGTGAAAACATAGCACCGTAGCATTTTTTTTTATTTAGAAAAACACAATAAGGCAAACAAATGAATCCTTATTGTTCACTTGTGTTTCATATGTTAAGTTTTTGACGTCTAATCCACCAGTGAAATTTCTATGGATAAAGTTTATCAGACAACAGAGAAATTTAAAATGATTCTCTCAAAAAAAAAAAGAAAGAAAGAAAGAAAAAGATAGTATGTAACAGTTTCGTCTATTTCAATCAATTCAAACTAGCTGGTTGAATGAATGCTCTGGCTATGTAGTATTGTCAGGCATTTGATTACAAAGGAAGTTTGTACGCGAAGAAAAACTTTTGTTTTGAATTATGTTACATTACAGTAGAACCAGTGTCAATATACATAGAGACAGCAATATCATTCTCTGTCCACTATTTGAACGATTTTCCCTGTAATCTTCCACCCAAAGCACATGATTTATATTACCAAAGAGCATCTCTTATCATGGAAATTTGAGCACACATCGCTATGTGAATAGAGACTAGAGTGGAACCTTGCTTCATGCTTCCTGTTTCTTTCCCCAGTCTGGGGGCGCCTATCAAGGGTGACTTTGAAGTCTGAATAACAGGAGCAATTTAAAGAGAAAATAAAATAGCTGAGCTGGATTTGCATGTGATGTGAACACTGTCACTCCTTGGCCAATTCTGGTCAAGTGCTAGTTGGAGAAAAAAAATAGAAATGATATTTTCTGTAATTAAGGAAGAAATCATTTTAAAGTAGGGGTAATTGCATATTACTAACTTAAAGCATCCTCACTTGCCAAATAGTCATTTAAATCTCAACATTTGCTTATCAGTCCCTCGAATCTTCAATTTTCTTACAAATGAATCCCTCTTAAAGGATTATGTTGATTTCTCTAACTCTAATTTGGTAAAGGTTTAACCCAATGTCTAAAAACACCCAAGTGCTCATGAGTTTTCCACATGGGGTTTCTTTTAACTCTAGTTAGGAATATAACCATTGGAAAAAGCTCTGAATTAGGTTGGGGAAGCTCCTCATCATTGCAGAAGAAGAAGAAGTTGGTAGTTTTGGGTTTTAATTGGAGCGGGTTGCGGGCATAAACCTACTATAAAGTTGGTAAAGTATTAAATGATAGAGTTAATTATGAGTGAATATTTTATGAGAAAACCATCTAGTTCTGGTAAAGTTAATATAAGCTATATCTCATAAATAACGTCACCTAACAAGAAGGACGAATTTGCAAGAAAATTAAAGATTTGAGAGACTAATAAACAAATATTGGGATTTAAGGGACTGTTTGCCAATTAAGGATGATTTAAAAGACTAATATGCAATTAATTACCTCTTTAAAGTAATATTAATGATATCAAATATCAGTATAAATAGGTAAAATGTCAATATAGAAAGTACTAAATCAATACAAATAATGTTGTAATTAAATAATTAATGTAGACAATAATATAGTCTTCCACTTCAAAATTGATCTAAAACATGGGAACTGAATTTCTTTTCCCCACGTTCGAAATGTAGTGAGAAACAACTATTTTTGTTGTGATTCTTTCAAATAAAATATTTTTCATGCTCTATTGAATTACACTCATCTTAATTTTACACTGGACAAAATTAATTATAATTATCCATCAAACAATCAATAATCAGATTTAAATTGGCGATCTTTCTACAACGTCTTAGCACTATCACTGCTAAAATTTGAGGCATCCTAGACGGAAAATTCCGTCTAAGATACCCAGAATTCCGTCTAGGATGTGTATTCTAGACGGAATTCCGTCTAGAATACGCGTCTAGTTTATTTCCGTCTAGTATGTAGTATTCTAGACGGAAATTCCGTCTAGAATACATCCTAGACGGAATATTCTAGACGGAATTAAAAACCGTCTAGAATACATCCTAGACGGATTATTCTAGACGAAATTTCCGTCTAGAATAATTTATCCTAGACGGAAAAAAATTCCGTCTAGAATAAGTATTCTAGACGGAAATTTTCGTCTAGAAATCTTATTCTAGACGGAATTTGATTTTTTAAATTTTTTTATTTTTTTAATTTTTAAAAAAATATTCTAGATGGAATTTAAGCATCCTAGACGGAATTTCCGTCCAGGATACTATGCTACAGTAATTTTTTTTTTTTTTTTGCAGAATCTACTTTAAGTGTATGTACACAATATTGAACAACAAAAAATTATATTCATATCCAACACAATCTAATTAATTCCAATATCAAATCCAATTATATTCAAATAATACATTCACCAAGATAGTAGAGAGATACATAAATTATTTACAAACGTTTACATAAATTATTTACAATGGCTATGACACTTCTAGGAAAGAATGTAATTCATCGATACATGATTATTAATCTATTTGAGTTCCTTTCTGTTCTTCCAGATTTGCTTGACACCATCCAACTCCTTCCAGAATGCCTCATAATAGCCAGGAATGCTGCAAAATGAAGAACGGTTATGCATAAGGCAAGGAGTTATCGAAGTAGAGTATCATATTTCTTAGTACAAGCTATTATCTAAAGCTATTATCTAAATCAGTTAGTAGATGAATCCAGCAGGAACAATTTGAGGAATAGTGTTCCACCAAGAATAGTAAAATGGAGAGTTCCAAGCATGTTTTGAATTATCATGATGCACATAAAAGATAATACAAACTGAAGCCATAATTTAGTGAAAGATTATATCATATTTCCAAAAGGATACATATTTTCATGGACAATTTTATAATATCCCCATGTAAAAGAACCAATCAATATCCCCATGGATAATACAAACTGAAGGGATTGGGGAGGGGGTGGAGCTTGAGGGCGATGGAGTGGAGGACGCGACAGATGGAGAATACGTGATTTTCTACTAGTGTCTTCTTCTTATTATTAGATTTGAGCATGACATAGCCAACAAAGACGCAAAAGAAACTGAGAAGCGCGACGCCGGCAAACACCGGTATCAAGATAGCAAACTCTTGGGGTAGAAAGTACCTGTGAATGAAATGATCCTGATCCACAAATGGCTGCACAAGTTGGGGGGAAGAAAAATCAACAAATTTATTGGGTATCTCAAAAATCATTAAAAACATTAAATTGGACAAATGGGTGTCCAAAAAACTCACCAAAATGATGACCCAGAAAGTGTAGTAAGTGAAAAGTGAGATGCTAATGGAAGTTAGAAGAAGCCCGACTTCTTTATCTGCAAGCTCCATTGAAATCGAGGGGTATTTTTTCACCAAATTCTGCCGGAAAAAAAAAACAAAAGGCCCATTTCAATTCCAGGATCATATATTCATATAAACAAACAAAATTAAATCTTTTACGCCAAGAGAATAAAATTTCTCAACCTGAGGAACGAATCGAACGCCAAGGGTTTAATTTTTGGGGAAGAGAAATGGGGAAATGGGGTACTGGTTTCGGTTAGATTGAATGATAACTAGTGCTTGAAAATAATTTGGAAAGCAATTCATATTTGATGAAGCCACAACAGGAAATAAGAAGATAGAAAAGATTAGGATTTTGACTTCCGATAAATGAATTATAAGTCATTATCATTCAATCTAACCAGATGATATTGCTGGGGAAATGGGGTACTGGTATGCCTTCAACTGGGACCCCAACTCCCTGGTCTTCTCTATATAAAATGTGTATTGAGCACTATGAGGTGAAACAAATTTAATGCAGAACAAGCTTACCAGATGAATGACATCTATGCTAACGTCACCAGCTTCAACACCCTCAATAGTAATAAGCAAAACATTCCCAGCAATATCACCAGTACTCTTATTGTTCACAATCTCTTGTCGATTTGAGTATTGTATATACACGGTTTTGCCACGAACTTGTGCAGGCTCAGATGATGAAGCACAGTATGAAACCATTGAGATTGCTTGGTTAAGGTCGGACTGGAACAAATGAAACAAAATCAAATAACTAAAACTAATAAGCTATCATCACATCTAAGTTTTTCCTTTTGAAATGTAGATTTTAGCCTCAATTAACTAATTTCTGTGCTGCGCTTAATATCGATTTGATGTAGCTAAAAGCAAGACATCAGTCACACATTACCACATAAAATTGGTGATTGGGAATTTCATATTAGGACACAAAAAAAATTGAGGGAATCAATTTAGCTATCAAAATTATAACAGCATTGCTAAAAATGCAACCTATGCACAAACACAAAACAGACATAGTTAGACCCAATCATCAAATTTTCTTCTTTCATACCAACCAATACTGAAGAATAATACAAAACCACTTACATTGCTTTGTTAATATGATGTTTGGAAAACTGAAAGTTGATCTGGAATAGTAAAAGAACTTTTTTTTACAAGGGAACAAAATATGGTGTTTGGTTGGGGGGGAAAATCTTAAGACTGAAAAAATAAGGAATAGGGCAATGTTGTGATATCTATTTACTTAGCATCAAACTACACTTTCAGTGATATAATAATAAACTAAATTTTTAATACTCAGGGTTAAATCAAGAAGAAGCATAAAAACTTCTCCAGGCCCAAGAACCATCAACAATTAATTCAAGCAAGCAGCAGTGTCAATAATAATAACAATTCTTAGATTTTGCAGCGCAACAAAGACACCTAATTTTTAATTAAATTCAGACGAGAAAACAGAATGCAATCTACAAAATGAAAATCAAATGATCCCTTACAAACTCAACGAAGGCCTGGTTGCGATTTTCCCCAACATTGCACTTGGTGTTGACGATCTTTCCGAATGGCTTGCAGAGCTCGACGAGCTCCTCATCGGTGCACTCCCATGGCAGATTCCTCAGGTGAAGCACCTTCGATGGCGTCTGCGTGTAGCGAAACTGCTGCTGCCCTGACGTAGACGACATCGTAGCGTCGATCTAGGGTTAGGGTTACGCAGATTTCTCGTGGGTGGCGGTGGCGAAGGATCCGCGGGGGGAGGGCATGCCGGGGAGCGCGCGACCAGGAGGGGAGTTGGGAGGCGGAAGGTGAGGGGCGAGGTCGAGGCGGTGGCGGAGGACCAGGAGGGGACGGGGATCATCCGGCGGGTTACTGGGAGGGGAGGGGGGAGGTGGAGGGGAAGGAGCGGCGTCGAACGAGGGAAGCCCGTTGACGGAGGATAGGTTGGCGTGAGGTGGGGAGGGAGGGTTGGGGAGATTATCCACAAGGCTGTGATGGCTCTGATCTTTCTAGGGGAAAGGGGGAAAGGGGGGCGAAATTTTGGGGGGAAAGGGGGGCGGCGAAATTTTGGGGGGAAAGGGGGGCGGCGAAATTTTGGGGGGAAGTTTTTTTTAAATGGGCCAAGTATCCTAGACGGAAATTTCCGTCTAGGATACATCCTAGACGGAAATTTCCGTCTAGGATAGCTAAAACAGTATACTTTGCTATCCTAGACGGAAATTTCCGTCTAGGATGTTTTATTCTAGACGGAATATTCTAGACGGAAGACGGAAATATTCCGTCTAGAATACTACATTCTAGACGGAAAAATTTCCGTCTAGAATATTCCGTCTAGAATACTTGATTTTCTACTAGTGTATAGAGGATGCAAATCTTAAAACATAAGTCAACTTGTTCTTGTTAATTGTTATGCAAGATTTTATGCATGTGATTTTTCCCATTTCAGCAAATACCATCTAACGTTCCAATGATTTTTGGGTGGGTCTCATTCCATGATTGATTTGCCGTCTTGGGATCCGAGCCCGTTAACCGCGGAAATTATTGGATTGAGAGTCATGAATAATCTTGCTTAGTCGTTTACTGAAGCTCTAATTTAATCTCGTTTGACTGACAACTGAGGATGAGAATGCCACAGGCGTTCGCTGTGGATCGGAGAAATTCCAAAGGCTCAATAGTAAACTTTGCTCGGATCTACTATCTATTGTCAACTAGTTTAGTGGTTTGGCTTAAGGAAATATTTGGTTTAAAACTCCTAGTTGTAAATTTTTCTATTATTCT